AACAAAATCGATTTAAATTGGAAGTTCTTCAAGATTTTATAAGTACAAAGCTAAGTAGTGATGGTGCTAACTACTATATTTTAAAAGTGTATCTTATTTCCAGTTACAAAAATAAATTTCTAAAATTTTAGTAGCAAATAAGTTACGCAACCTGCGTGGTGTGCGGTATTGGCAAGCGATCAGGGTCTGTTCCGAAACTTTTTTGTAGGAAATTGAAAGTCTTACAAATTTGTTATTTATATATTTTTTCTGTAGCTCATGTTATTTTCGAGATAGGGGCAAAAAAAAACGAGAACTTCATGAAAAAAGTGTGTTTAGTGACCCGTACTACCTCGCTAATGGGAGCTAGGATTAGGATTAGGTGTGTGTAAGTATGTACTATATAATGCTGGATTTCCACCAGGCATTAAATGGCAAAAATGACAAACGAAAATGTCGGGCATTAAAAAATAATCGTGTCATTACATTAAAAAAATAGTCATTAAGTGCATTTCCACATGGCATTTTTTTAAATGGCATACATTTTTCTGTCATTTCAATGCCTAGTGTAAATTCGGCATAAGTTTGAGTGCCGCAGGAGATGTATGTAAAATGTAAAATAATTTCGGACGAAAGAGCTTTAAGCAAAGAATCTGTTAAGATATTTATCGCATCAGGAAACGAACTTCAATTCTACCAGGCGGAGGAGTGCTGCTCAACCACCAAACAACCTGCTTGCCTTAGAAGTACTAATCGCTTCCTAAATCTTTTCTCACGGATATAAATCTTGCAATTTTATTCTAGCAAGTATACTCATACACTGTTTCCATCTTAGACCAGTTGGTCTGCTGTCATTTCGTGGAAAAATTTCACCCAACAGCTTTGTTTGAATATGAATACTAACACATTAATTAAACTTCAGCTCATTATCCTTATGCATTGTTTACATAATCCGACAAAGTTCATGATTTTTAAGTAAGCATTTAAGATTGCCAACTGAAGATGTTTCCAAAGACTAAATGCCAAACCACAATCTTTGGCAGCGCTTAGTGTCAAGCAATGAATTAAGTATAAAAGCTTCTTGTCTTGTGTGCACAAGCCCACTACACACATCCATACAACAATGAATTGATTATGTACTTGACTTTTCGCGCTTTTATCCCTCTTTTTTTTTAATTTTCCAATTCTTCTCTCATCTACCACTGCATATGCATTTAGCCATAGTGGTATTATTGTGGTTATCTTGTGGCAAAGCTGGTATCGCCAGCTTAAGTATGCTCAGCTCAATTGACTTGTTATATTAAATGAAAATATTTGCATGAACAATACATAAGTCAACAGCTTGCCATGAGGACACAGACATCTGAAGAAGATTGAATGATCGGCACTAGAATGCCAACACCAAATGACTATGTGGATGGTGGTGTGTGCGTTGAAAAGTCGCCGCAGTCATTGTCATCATGGTCAGCGACGCCCCATAATATACTAGGTGGCACAAGGAATAAGCTTTTGAGTTATACAGTTTTCTAAAATTTAAATATTTTGTGGTCGTACTTATATGAACGAATATTGAAACATACAACTACATATAGAGACTAAAAAAAATTAAAATTATTATTTTTTCATCTAATACCCAAAATCGATAGACGAGGATATCACATAAATAAATTTTGGTCCCGATTGGAGTCGGTTAAGGCATGTCGCACAATATTTAAGAGATCACACAGCTCAATTAGCCAATGAACGCGGAATGTCTTTCGTCCTTTGAAACAGCGAGGATTATTGTCCCTTTTATAACAGAAAACACAACTCTATGCATTAAAGTCTTTTTTGTAAGTGGCAAGATTATAGAAGAAGCATTCATTCGCTGAATTCAGTTCCTAAATATTAAATAGCTTCAGCATAAATTCTTACTATGTCAAATATCTTTGTTAAGGCTTTTCACAGCCACTCTTCAAATTGCTTTAATATTTTATCAATAACTGTAATCAGTAAATACTTCATTTATACATATATGTATCATAATTTTATTATATGCCATGCAAACTCAATATATTAAACCGTAATTTACGAAGAGCAAAGAAATTCAATCAGTACAGTTGAGGCAGCTAC